GGGCATATGCACCCGCGACCCCCCCGTGACCCCCGCTTTTGGCACACGACAGCAAAAAGGTTAGCCATCACTGCTCTAGTGCATGCGTGCCACAGGTGGCACACAGAGCCCTCTCTGTGGGCATGCACGCTTTTGCCAGCTTCTTTTCTGGTTTCCGGCGTGCCAGCTGGTCTTCACAAGTGCCGGAGCACCGGAAAACGGCTTGAAAATGGCCCGAAAAAAAACGACCAAAAACCAGACCATTTTCCGTTTTCAGGCCGTATTTTGGCCCGTTTTCAGGCTGGTTTTGGCCCAGAAAACGGGCTGAAAACACCCGAAAAACTGCCTGAAAACAGCCCAGAAAATGGCCTGAAAACGCCCAGAAAACAGGCATATGTGCGCTAGCCAGCTGGTCTCTGGGTTTCCGGCACTCCTGTGCATGCGCATGGACGCACGATTTGGGCACTCATTGCCAAAAAGGTTCGCCATCACTGCTCTACTGAGTTCAAACAGGACTTACAAGTTAGAAAAAATATACAGAGTGACTCATCCATTTCCACTGGTCTCAATCTTTACCTGAGTATGCATAATTTAGCCACAGGAGTTTTTTGGCATTTGAATAAGGGAGTCAACTTGTTCTTTGAAGAACTGGGTAGCCGGCTTCCCACGTGACACTAATAGCGTGGGAAAGAAATTATAAAAGCTGGATTCATACATGACACTAATATATTAGAAAAATAAATAAAAGCTGGATTTACACTTCTCACTTGGGAAACACTTATAAAAGCTGGTTTCACACGACACTAATTTATCAACAAAATATAAACGCTGGTTTTGCACACGACTCTAATATATTGGGGGGAAAATTATAAAACCTGGATTCACACAACACTAATTTATCAACAAAATATAGAAGCTGGATTCATACATTTCACTCGTAATATATTGGGAAACACTTTATAAAAGCTGGATTCACACAACACTAATTTATCAAAAAATATAAATGCTGGTTTTGCACACGACACTAATATATTGGGAAAAATTATATAAGCTGTATTCACACGTGACCCTGATATAGTAGAAAAAAATATAAAAGTTGGATTCACACATTTCACTCTTAATATATTGGAAAACACTTATAGAAGCTGGATTCACACAACTCTAACTTATTGAAAATATATAGAAGCTGGATTCACATATTTCACTCTTAATATATTGGGAAACACTTATAAAAGCTGGATTCACACAACTCTAACTTATTGAAAATATATAGAAGCTGGATTCACATATTTCACTCTTAATATATTGGGAAACACTTATAAAAGCTGGATTCACATGACTCTAATTTATTGAAAATATATAGAAGCTGGATTCACACATTTCACTCTTAATATATTGGGAAACACTTATAAAAGCTGGATTCACACAACTCTAATTTATTGAAAATATATAGAAGCTGGATTCACATATTTCACTCTTAATATATTGGGAAACACTTATAAAAGCTGGATTCACACAACACTAATTTATCGAAAATATATATAAAGCATCGATTCACATGTGACATTAATAGATTGGAAAAATAATAATAGTGTATGATTCACACATCTCGCTCTGATATATTGGGAAACTACTATAAAAGCTGGATTCACAGGACACTATATATATTAGGGGGGTGGAACACAAAATTCTCACAACACACAAACCCCAAACCAACTTCTTTCCCCCACACCTGTGGCTCTTTTCATGATATAGTACTCAGCCATGGATGCAGAGAGGTATGGCCTTGCGTAGAAAGGTTCTCAAGATGTGGTTGAGAAAGAAATACAAGATTTTGTGTTATTGTCAAGCATTTGTCCACAATCTGCAAACAACAGCCACTAATGAATCAACCAATGTAAGATATTCCTCGACATTAAGAGCCATTCTTTCAGCCTCTGTTCAATAGTTCAGACCACAATGAAAAACAGTGACTCAAGACCAGACACATCGCGCTTACAACTCAACCGTATCCACACAGTCACACACACACAACAAAATACGGGCGCGCTTGGCACTGGCATGTGTTTGTGACGGTTGCAGTGTGCCGAAGTCATGTGGTCACTCTGTGGAAACTTCCCAGCTGGCTTCCGACAAACGAAGTCAATGAGGGAAGCCAGTTTCGCTTAACAACCTTCCAATACACTTAACAAACCATAGATTGCATAATAATCAGGGCCAAAAAAAAAAAAGCGTTTAAAATCAGGCACGACTCACTTTAACCACTTTGCTTAGCAAGGACAGCTGCGTTTGTAACTCGGGACTACCTGTAGACTACCTCCCTCTTTCAGTTAGTAAAGTTCACATGGACTGGACATTTTTATTTTATTTTATTTTTATTTTATTTCCAATTTATATACCGCCCTTCTCCCGAGGACTCAGGGCGTGTGTACAGCAAAAATTAAGAACATGAAATACAAATATTAAAAAACAATTAAAATATATATAAATATGGCCCAAAAATTAAAAATCACAAACCAATTAAAACATTTAAAAATTTCTTCTTAAGCCAGCCGGCTTTGCTGGAAAAAGTGGGTTTTAAGGGCACGGCGGAAGCACCGAGGTCTTGGATTCTCCTTATCTCTGGGGGCAGCTGATTCCAGAGGGTAGGTGCCCCCACAGAGAAGGCCCTCCCCCTGGGGTCACCAGCCTACATTGTTTGGCTGATGGCACCCTGAGGAGGCTCTCTCTGTGGGAGCGCATACCCCAAGGTGGGTAGGAACCCCAGAATTTGTATTGGAATTGGGCCCCAAAAGTTTAGTAGCTTTTGGTGCCCAACCCATCTTGAGGATAGAGAGTAGGGGGAACCCCGGTTCACACAATCCCGGGTCAAACTCTACAACACCAACGGTGTAAAACACAGCTCTCCTTGACTCTAAGGCAGTGTTTCTCAACCTTGGAGCTTGAAGATGGGTGGACTTCAACTCCCAGAATCCCCCAGCCAGCGTTGCGGGGGGATTCTGGGAGTTGAAGTCCACCCATCTTCAAGCTTCCAAGGTGAGAAACACTGCTCTAAGGCCTTAAGCAGTTACTTCTACATGCAACCCACAAGTCAGAACACGCGCTACATGTCTTTCATAAAACACGCCACTCCAGAAGGCCAAGAGGGGGGCGGGTAAACGACATTAAAAACAGTTTATAATCACAGAAGTATTTCCTCTATTATTATTATTATTATTATTGGTTAATCTTTAGTGAGATTCACAGCCTTTGAGGCCGGTTAATAGATGATGATGATGATGATGATGATGATGATGATGATGATGATTACAGAATTAAGAGTGCATGTGAAGGGGTTTGGGGTTTAATTATAGGAAGAATAGCTTTAAGGCAGGGGTCCCCAACCTTGGCAACTTTAAGACTTGTGGACTTCAACTCCCAGAATTCCTCAGCCAGCAAAGCTTTAAGACTTGTGGACTTCACTCCCAGAATTCCTCAGCCAGCAAAGCTTTAAGACTTGTCGACTTCAACTCCCAGAATTCCTCAGCCAGCAAAGCCCATTCACATGTAATGGGGGCGAGCCATGGGGGTGTGGGGAAGAAAAAAAAGCCCCCCACCCCTCTCTCCCTCCCCAAACTGTGATCCTTTCAACTCCTCGACTCTCGGGAAGGAAGTTTCCCAGGATGGAATAAAATAAAAATAATGTTTGGAAGGCATGGCATGGAGGCTTATGCCAGGGGCAAGAGAGGCAAAGACTGCTGGGGAGGGAAGAGTTGGGAGGGAGAGAGGGAGGGAGAGAGGGAGAGAGAGAGAGGGAGGGAGAGAGGAAAAGGGGAAAAGGAGGGAGGGAGTAAAGGAAGGAAAAGGAAAGAGGGGGGTGAGAGGAAGGAAGGAAGGAAGAAAAAGGGAGGGAGGGAGGGGAGAAGGAAAGAAGGAAAAGGGAAAAAGGGAGGGAGGAATAAAGGAAGGAAAAGGGGAGGGAGGGAGGAAGGAAAAGGGAGGGAGGGGAATAAGAGATGGAAGGACGAAAGAAGGAAAAGGGAAAAAGATGGGGAGGGAGGGAGGAAGGGAAGGAAGAAGAAAGGAAGGAAGAGAGAGAGGGAGGAGGGAGAGAGGGAAGGAAGGAGGATAGAAAGAAAGAAGGAAGGGGAAGGAGGAAGGAATAAAAGGGAGAGAGGGGGGAAGGGAGAGAGGGAAGGAAGGATAGAAAGAAAGGGGAAGGGGGAAAGAGGAAGGGAGAGGGAGGGAAGGAGGGAAGGAAGAAAGGGAGAGAGGGAGGAAGGGAGAGAGAGAGGGAAGGAAGGATAGAAAGAAAGAGGAAGGGGAGGGGGAAAGGGAGGGAGGAGGGAGGGAAGGAAGGAGGATAGAAAGAAAGAAGGAAGGGGGAAGGGGGAAAGGGAGGGAAGGGAGGAAGGAAGAAAAGGGAGAGAGGGAGGAAGGGAGAGAGGGAAGGAAGGAGGGTAGAAAGAAAGAAGGAAGAAAAGGGAGAGGAGGGAGGGAAGGAGGGAGGGAAGAAAAGGGAGAGAGGAAGGAAGGAAGGAAGGAGGGTAAAAAGAAAGAAAGAAGGGGAAGGGGGAAAGGGAGGGAAGGGGGAAAGGGAGAGGAGGGAGAAGGAGGATAGAAAGAAGGAAGGAAGGGGAAGGGGGAAAGGGAGGGAGAGGGAGGGAAGGAGGGAGGGAAGAAAAGGGAGAGAGGAAGGAAGGAAGGAAGGAGGGTAAAAAGAAAGAAAGAAGGGGAAGGGGAAAGGGAGGAAGGGGGAAAGGGAGAGAGGGAAGGAAGGAGGATAGAAAGAAGGAAGGAAGGGGAAGGGGGAAAGGGAGGGAGAGGGAGGGAAGGAGGGAGGGAAGAAAGGGAGAGGAAGGAAGGAAGGAGGGTAAAAAGAAGGAAAGAAGGGGAAGGGGGAAAGGGAGGGAAGGGGGAAAGGGAGAGAGGGAAGGAAGGAGGGAAGAAGAGGGAGGGAGAGAGGGAAGGGAAGAAGAAAGGAAAGGAAGGGAGGAAAGGAGCGAGGGGAGAGAGAGAGGGAGAAAGCCGGGCCGACTTACGCAGCTTCTTCCACATGGCGCGGTGGCAGGCGAGGAAGCCCTTGCGGAGGGCGGCGCAGACGGCGGCCGGCTCGGCGGATCGGAAGCCCTTCTGCTTCTTGATGAAGGGCCAGAGGTTCTCGCGGGCGAAGTGAGCCGCTTCCCGCCCGCCGTGCCCGTCGCACACGGCGAAGAAGGCCACCGAGCCCGGCGTCCCGGCCGCCCCTCCTCCTCCTCCTCCCTCTCCTCCTCGTCCTTGGGGTCCCCTCGGGGCTCGGGCTCCAGCACGATCTGGGTCACGTCCTCCATGTATTTCCTGCCTCCCTGGTCGGAGAAGAGGCTCACCGCCAGCGAGCCGCAGGGACCCTCCATGCGACCCCCGGCCCCGGCAGCAGCCGCCGCGGAGGAGGAGGAGGAGGAGGCGCTCCGGGCCTCGCTTGGCCCCGACGGCCCTTTTCCCCTTCGCGGCCTCCCGCACCGCTTCTCCTCCCTGGCTGTTTTTGTTTTCCCTTTTATTGTTTACACGCGCCGGGAAGGAAGGAAGAAGCGGCGGCGGCGGCGGCAGAGGCGCTGTTTAGACATGCCTTTTTTTCTCCTCCTCTTCCTCTCTTCTCCTCCTCCTTTTTTTCTCCTCCTTCCTCCTCCTCCTCCTCCTCTTCCTCACTTTTCTCCTCCTCCTTTTCTCTTTTCTCCTCCTCCTTTTCCTCCTCCTCCTTTTTTCTCCTTTCTCCTCTTCCTCTCTTTTCCTCCTCCTTCTTTTCTCCCTCTTCTTCTCTTTTTCCTCCTCCTTTTTTTCTCCTTTCTCCTCCTCTTCCTCTCTTTCCTCCTCCTCCTTTTCCTTCTCCTCCTTTTTTTTCTCCCTCCTCCTCCTCTTCCTCTTTCCTCCTCCTCTTTTTTCTCCTTCCTCTTCCTCCTCTCCCTCTCTTTTCTCCTCCTCCTTTTCCTTCTCCTCCTCTTCCTCTCTTTCCTCCTCCTCCTTTTCCTTCTCCTCCTCTTTTTTTCTCCCTCCTCCTCCTCTCTTTTCTCCTCCTCCTCTTCCTCTCTTTTCCTCCTCCTCCTTTTTTTTCTCCTTCCTCCTCCTCCTCTCCTTCCTTCTCCTCCTCCTCCGCCTGGAACGAAAAGAAAAAAAAAAAAAAAAAAGGAGAAAGCGGCGCGGAACAATCGCCGATGGAACGCTGGGGAGCCCAACGTTCCAAAAGGAGGGGGGAGGAGGAGGAGGAGGGACCACCCAGCCTTTCCCCGGCCCCCGCCGCTCGCCTATTAAACGCGCCTCCCGCTTGGCCCCGCCCCCACGCTCCACCCCCCCCACCAAGCTTGCAGTCCTTTTTTTTTTCTTTTCTTTTTTTCATTTTTCTCTCTCTTCTTTTTTTCCTCCTCCAAAGAAAAATAAATGGGACTGGTTGGCTTAGGTTGCATTGGGACGAGCGGGGGGGGGAAGGTGGGAAGCTCGCAGGGACGTTCTGATCGTAAACCCCCCCTTTTAAAAAAATAATAATAAAGGTTTGATCGCTGGGGAAGTAAAGATGAAGAACTGGAAGGAATTGGTGGGCATGTTTATTTGCTCCGGGTGGGAACAGAAAGGAAATGGGGGGGAGGGAGTGACAAAGGGCAGAAGCCAATATTTGGATTAAACGTGGGGGGGGGGTGTCTCTCTCATTACTTTGACCGAATTTGGGACCCACCCCCACATCCCCCATCCCTCCTCCCCCCTTAGGCTAAAGCTAAACATCCCTGCTTCCCTTCCAACCCTAATTCATTTGAAATGCAAAATAAAATTGCGATGCCCGCTAGTTTCAAAGCCACTTTTATTTTTATTTTATTTTTTTAATATTATTATTTACATTTCTATACTGCCCTTCTCCTTTCGTATTCAGGGCGGTGAACAGCCAAAAATAAAACATTTGTACACAAAAGTTAAAATAGTTTTAAAATAATTAAAGTTTGGCCCATAATTTAAAACATTTCAATTCAAATCAGTATCAATTTTAAAAACCAATATTAAAATCAGGCCAGCCCGGCTAACTGAAAGAAAGGAGCCTTGGTAGTACAGTGGTTTAAAGCACCCTGTTATTAACACAGCTGCCTGCAATTACTGCAGGTTCGAAACTCTCCAAGGCTCAAGGTTGACTCAGCCTTCCATCCTTTCTAAGGTAGGTGAAATGAGGACCCAGTTTGTGGGGGCAATAAGCTGACTTTGTATAAATATACAAAAAGTATGAAGGCTATTGCTTAACGCATTGTAAGCCGCCCTGAGTCTCCGGAGAAGGGCGGCATATAAATCAAATAAAAAAAAAAAAGGTTTTAAGGCATAATCCGAATTATGCCAAAGGCGGCTTCAAACATTCCCAATGAGCAACAGGGTCTTTCAAACAATGCAACATTGTCCAAATGTTTTCCCCCAACAGACTCTCTGAAAAGTCATTAAAAGTGTCCCGCTTTGGAATGTGAAATGTTTCCCTGAATAAAAATGTCTTCAGAAAAGTATCTGTGGGTAGGCGTGCGACTTCCCCAGCGTGTTGTGCTAACTACGGGGGGCTCCTCGGCTTACAACCACAATGGAGCCCCAACATTTCTGTGGTTAACGGAGACACTCGTTCAGGGTGAATTTTGCCCTGTAGGAAGTTAGCACCCACCCTTTCCTAGATGAATGAAATATTTTGGGAAATATTAAAAAGGCAGAATATTATGTTTCCCTGGATGAGAAATGGAGAAGCATGTTTTAAAGACGAAGCGGCTCCCATCTTCCTGCCCCCCCACCCTTTGTCAATGGGCCGGAGGCAGAAACTCAATCTTTGTCAATGGACCATCATCTGCAACACAATAGGACCCATCTATCAACAGAAACTAATACAATAGGACCTATCTAGCAACAGAAACTCACCACATGGCACCTGGGAAGATTACATCAGCCAGCAAGGCTAGCTAAAACCCCCACCCCCTGGGAGTCTGACAACCAATCAGGATACTCTTTCGGGGCCCCAGGAAGTTCAAAGCCAGAGAGGGCCTAAAACCGGGGACTCACTGCATCTTGCCCCCTTTTCTGTTCAGGAACTCAAACCATGTGATCCTGTCCACCATTAAACCATCTTTCCAAGCAGTCTCCGTGTTTCCAGTGTCTTTTTCCCCACTTGGAGCTGAACCCAGAAGGAGATTTCTTCTTACAGTATGAAATTAATGTATTAAAAAGCTATGATGTTCTTAACTGTTGCAAACTGACCATAAATTGTAATTTAGTAGAGACAATGTGTTATGACTTGCTAAAAGCTCCCGTGGAGACAGGAACCTACGCCTTGGGCAAAACCATTATCCGTAAAAAGGAACATCCACCCAAGCTGAAGTTAAAAAGTAAACATCATAAGATAGTTGTTGTTAGGCAGGAAATGTCAAGATGACCCTTTAAAGGGTAAAAGAACTCGAAGAATGACTTAGGGCAGGGGTCTGCAACCTTAAAGACTCAAAGAGCCATTTGGACCCGTTTCCCACAGAAAAGAAAACACCGGGAGCCACAAAACCCTTCCCGTGCCTCAGGGGTGGGTTCTAATTTTTTTTACTACCAGTTCTGTGGGCGTGTCTTATTTTGTGGGTGTGGCTTGGAGGTCATGTGACTAGGTGGGCATGGCTAGCTGGTCAGAGTCATTTCTGGAAGGTCCTTGCACTTACGACCAGTCCTCGCACTTACGACCCGACTCATTTGTTTGCTTTTAACACTGATCAGCTGTAGGGCGGCCCTTTGAAGCCCCGCGGCAAGAGTTTCAACAGTTTTTTTCCCTCTAGTCATCAGCTGGGACTCAGGAGGCAGCAATAGATTGGGGGTGGGACCAAATAAAAGGTAAGAATAACGTGGGGGGGTGGGAGGGCGGGGGGGAGAACCGGTTCGGTGACGTCATATCGTCACCGCTACCGGCTCAGCCGAACCAGACCGAACCGGGAGGAACCCACCACTGCCGTGCCTATTTCTTGAGCAGCCACAAAACTAGCATGTGTAGTTGAATTAAATGTTCTGTTTTCTTCTGAAACTTTTCTTTTCTTGGATTTATCCATGGTTGGCCTTCTGGGGGTTGAAAAGCTCAGTAAATCGTGTCCCGGCAGGTGTCGCACATTGGCAGTTGTGATGCCTATTTTGAATGACGGAGCCGCAGCAGAGGGGTGAAAGAGCCACATGCGGCTCCAGAGCCACAGGTTGCTGACCCCTGATTTAGGAGAATAAAGGGGAGTTGGGAGGGATTCTTAGGCGTGGCGTGCATTGTGTAGGAGTATAAAATGTGTAGCTTGACAACTGCTATTTGCACTCTTTGAACACAATTTTGGGAAGGGTCTAAGAGGCTGCGCTTGCAACCACTTTTTTTTCTTCTTCACTTTATCTCCAATAAACCTTTGATTTTGTGAACCAGACTTGTTTATGAATTGTGAGGATTAAAAATATTTGGGTCTTCTATCTCACAACAGCGATAGGTATGTACATTGCAAATTAAGCACATGGTTTTCCTTGGGCTTCCACAAATAATTTACTTCGCCCTCCACCTCTCTTGTTTAAAAACTCGGCATTCTGCATCGTTTTTTCCCCTTTTATTCACTGGAGCTGACATTTTGGAGGGCTAAACCCCCAGCAATGTGTGTGTTGTGGCTCCGTTACCGGAGCCTGTGTCATCGGCAGGAGAGGACTCCGAGAGTGAAGGGGAGGAGTTGGCAAGGCCTCCCTCTCCAGGACCCTCCTCTCTGGCAATGCCTTCGGTGTCCGCCGAAGGGCAAGAGATAGGGCCGGGGCCAAGCATGTCCACGCAGCCACAGGTGGACAGTGATGAGGGTAATGAGTCTTGGCTGGATCCACGCCAGCGTCGCAGAGATAAGCGCGTGCAACAGAAGAAAGGGCGTGCTCGAGATTAGGCTGAGTCACTGGACCACACCCCACAGGGTATAAAAGGGAGCGTGGTGGCCAGTCAAACCTTGTGATGAACAAAGCTGAAAGCTTCCAAGCCATTCTGCATTGCCGGACTTTTTGCTATAGACTTTGCTGGAGTATCTCTGGACTTGATTAATTCCATAATTATTGAGCTGCTTTCCTTTGATGTATCAGAAGTGGGGAGAAGTTATCCCTCCTCTTTGTAAATAATAAACTCTTGGCAGGCAGCCATGAGGTGGTTGCCAAGTTCCGTTATCATAAGGAAAAGGATTTTGCCGGCTGGTTTGGTCTTTAACTCCTGAACGTCTGTTGGTGTGTGTGCGTGGGGTTGGGGACAGAACCTGTGGCCGCTGGAAACTATACGGCAGAGGTCTTGAAACTTGGCAGCTTTAAGACTTGTGGACTTCAACTCCCAGAATTCTCCAGCCAGCTATGCTGGCTGGAGAATTCTGGGAGTTGAAGTCCACAAGTCTTAAAGCTGCCAAGTTTCAAGACCTCTGCATTATAGAGACACTACTAGAGCTGTGTTTTTCAACTTTGTCCACTTGGAGATG